TGATATGTCTTGGAATTAAAAATAGTGTAAACAAGTAGAAACTGCATGAATACGAAGATAGGGGCTGATTTTTTATCATCCCTTCAATAAGAAAGAAAGATATAAGTGATCTACTATTCGAGAGGTAGATCAACTCTCCCACAAACTCTAGACGCTGTTAGAAATAACTCCTGAAAAAAACTACAACAAACACAATCACATAATCAAAATAAAACAACATAATTATCCTTAAATAAACAATCATATTTCCCTCCCAAATTTGAATTCAAATCAGTCATCTTTCCCTCAATAAAAAATTTCTAATTCCCTTCCAAATCTGAATTAAAATTAGCCTTTCAATAAATAAAATATTCTTATTTCCCTCCCAAATCTGAATTCAAATTAGCCTTCTTTTCTTAAATAAATCTTTCCTAATTTTCTCCCCAATCTAAATTCAAATTAGCCTCTTTTCCCTAAATAATTCCCTCCTAATTTTAATTAAAACTTTCCTAAACAACTCCCCTTGATTCCTCCTTACACATTGAATATTAACTCTCCTAGGCCCTACAAGGTCCCCTTGACAAATCAATATTAATGGACCGGCCAATTTGATTGGGAATGAATTATAAATTTTACTAACCAAGAGGGAGCTATTAAGGAAGGTTCTTAATCAAAGGGGATTAATTAGGAGATGTTTCCTAATTAAAAAGGACAAAATTGGGGGCTAATTTGGAGGGAATTAATTAGAAAATGTTTCCTAATTGAAGAGAACATATTTGAGGGCTTATTTGAGGGCAAGTTTGGAGATTTGATGTAGAACGAATATGGGGGGAAGGGGGTCATTTGAAATTTGAATTTCAAACTAAATGGAAAAGGGGGAGAAGGGGTACTTAATTAATCCCTTAAACGGGGTTCTTTTTTTGGGAAGGAATTAATTAAAATAGGAGAGAGATTGGGGGCCTTAATGGAGAAGCATTAATTAAGTAGAGAGAGGAGAGAGGAGCGAGGAGGCGGCGGGTGGATAGAGGAGAGGGTTTACGGAAAGAGAATTAAAGTGAGCCTTCAGTTGAATCCAAAATTGAGGAAGATTAATTGAAATCAAATCCAATCAGAAATTTAATTGGACCTAATTTAAACAAATTTCCTAAAATAAGAATCCTAATTTAAGAAACAAATTCAAATTCAAATTAATTTGAATTTTGAATTCGAATTCGTTACAAAATTAAGATGTATAAAATAGGAAGGCTTTGAATACAAGATGACATTGTGGGAGCCAATGGGGGAAAGAAGGTGGCCGGCAGCTATGGAGGTATTAGGGTTAGGGTTTGTGAGGGTGTTGGTGGTTTGGTGGGGGGGGAGATGGCCGGTTAGGCTTAGGAGGGGGATGGGGAATTTCGATGGGGGAAAAGAAAGGGTTGTGGGAAGAGGCCGGCAGGTTTGGTTGGAGGGGATGATGCCTGCGGGATTTGAGAGAGGATGGAGATGGCGATTAGAAAAAAAAAAATAAGGAGAAACAAAAACAAAGAAAACCGTGAGCCCGAACGCTTCCTGCAGCTAACGGGTGTTGCGTTGCCCTTCACCAAGGGACTTCAAGCCACGAGCCCAGACCCATCCTGTGGCTGGTGGAAACTACGATTCCCTCCCATAGGGATCTAACTAATGTCCTCCCAAGGAACAAACCTGCAGAACAATTTTTTTATTAAAATTCTATCATTCCATTACACTAGCAAGGGCCTCTATATATAGATCTCATAAATAAAAGAAACTAAAGTAAGATGATCATGCCCCTAGGACTTGCATAAGATTAGACACTTAAGGGTAAAAATGAAAAATGCATAATTAAAATAAAAATTTAAGATAATGTAGGACGATCACGGATGTCGATCTTCAGCTCCTCGGATAGGCATAGACGGTTGGATGTCTGCATCAAGATTAATTAGAAAATATTTTCTAATTAACAATGTCTAATTTGGGAGAAAAATAATTAAGGAAGTATGGCAGATTTTGGAGGGAATTAGGGCAAGGTTGTTTGGGTATTTGTTGTTTATTGTGAGCTTTAAGTAATTGATTTACCCTTGGGTTAGGGTTATATTTTTGTATACAGAATTTTGTGAGTGTTTGTTGTCCATTATTTTTTTTAAGGATTCTAACAACATCTAGAATTTGGGAGAGAATGTCCTCTCGAAAGAGGACCATTATATCTTGTTTGTTCGTATTTCTTTTCTTATTAACAAAATCTATTAATTTGTTGAATTTTACTGTTTGATCGCCGATTTTTGGTTCTCAAGTCTTATCAATTGGTTGTTGACTTAGATTTATTGAGTCAGCCAGTCGTCCAACTAACGGATGACTTGTTTCAAAAAACGATTACCATTGAAAATCGTCAGTTAAACGGGCGATTTACTATAACACATTTCATAGTTTAAATTCCTGGCCAAGCTTCTCTTCCCTACATTCGCAGTTGCTTCTGCACCTTTAGTCATGAGCTTGAAAATAAAACATTTTTTGAAGATACAAATTATTTTATATATTTTTATTGGTAAAAAATTGATTAAAATATATTGATCTATCAAAAAAATTTGTATAGTATTAATTAATAAATTTATATTTAGTATGAGTTCTTAACATCCATTAAAGGTTTAGTTTTGTTTATAAGAGTATATTATTATTAAATTTTTATCAATAATATTGAGCAAAAAAATTCATATTTTTTATCAAAAGAATTTACTATCAGTTCTTGGTATCTTACTCCTTACTTTTTAAATAATTAAATAATATAATGTTTATCATAATAATATTTTAATAACATAAATATGTTAATTAATCAACCTAGAAATATATTCTAAATTAATGCTAGCATTCTATTTATTATTTTTAAACACAAAAATATAATAGTAGCATAACAAACAAATTATTAAATTAAGATTATAAATTTGCACATATTTAAAAATAATAAGATAAATTTTAATATTACTTAATTAACATACCTAAGCATATTTAGGATGAAAGAAAAAAACTACATTTACTCATTTAAACAATTAATTTCGGTTTTCTTAATTACATGACTAAATCATCAAATATTTCTAATATTTATCATACCTATCACAAACAAGATTTATCCAAATAATTTATCATGAAATCCTAAAAAAATTACTACACTACTGTTTGCTCACTAAACATAATTAAAATGAAATGAAAAAAAAAAAAAATTAACATTAAAAATCCCTAAATAGCACATTTCTATGCATTAAAATATGTAAAATTTAAATGATTTGAGGAATACATGACATGTTTAGTAACACAACTTCTAGAGAAATCTTGCAAAAACACTTGATTTGCGAGCTCACGGCCGAAGGAACGGAAGCAACTGTGAATGAAGGGAGGGTAGGGGAGGCCAATAATTTAAATCACGAATTTACTTAGCAAGTCGCATGTTTAATGAGGGACATTCAACATAAACCTTTTTATTGAAATAAGTAGCCCGTTAGTCGGGCAACTGACACATAGCTTAACAAATCTTAGTCAGCAACCAGTCGCCCATTTGATGGTCGACTTTGCCTACTTTTATGATTTATTTAGTACTTAATTATAAAATTAAAATTATGATAATACCTAGTTTAAAAACTAGTCCAAAAAACTATTTAAGTTATGCAAAAAGCTAGGATGTCAACACACAGTGCAATACAACGTGCAGAATGAGTCTTTTTCTTTGAACTGTGAAGCGCAAACCAACCTTACACTTTTGTTAATTGAAGTGAATGTAACATAAGAAACATTGCATAATAATATTATTAAAAAAGCTCTAGAAAAATAAAAATCATGAAATGTTCGATGCATTTTCAGTCAAATATTAATAAGGAAAACTACTGCGCTAGAAATTTGCAGATAATTTGGAGAGCATCTCACAACGTAAATGATAAACTGCGAAAAGCAAAGAACACAAAGCACCAGAAAGAAACACCCAAACAAAAAATAAAAGAAAGTGGTTGTGCTCCATGACCGCAAAATCAAATTGAAAGAGTTGGGAAAAAAAACATCAAATAAATCTAGTAATTGATAAATCAAAGGAGCAATCCACGATCATATAACATGAAGATAATAAACAAGTTACTAAACAATATTGGAAAAACAACAAACAAGAACTAGAAGAGAAGAATTGTTGAGACATTAACAACTCATCAATGACCAAATCACATGAGGAGACGTTGAGAGAAGAAAGTGCTTGCTTCTCTTTGAAATTTTACTGCCACCAGTTCCCTTAGTGATATTGTCTCCTTTGCATGCCATGAAATTGAAGTGACAAGGGCCTCTGCTTCTTGATATCATGATTGGTGGAATTGGAGGGGAGTTGATGGGGCAGAGAAAAAGAGTGAACAAGAACAAGATGAAAAACCAAGAGGAGAATGAGAAAAGAACTCTGACATGATGAGAAAAATAATCCTAAACCCTTTTTATTTATGAATCGGTGAGTGGAGCTTTAAAGATTGCATCCAAACATTATAGTGAATATGAAAAGTGCATGTGGATCAGCACGATGAAGCGAACGCTCATAGAACTATGACACTCATGCTCCACCGTGTAATGCAGTAGATCAATGGCTTCGTCTGCAAGTCATGATGCTACTTTGTTCAGAGGCCCCCTTCAAAGTGCACTTTAGATCACACTAATGCAACGTATTACTAAAGAAATTTGCAAGGAAAATTAGAAAGAATGTGCACAATATAATCACACTATGCAAAGCTACACTTCAGATTATTCTAGGACCTTTTTTTTTTCTTTTGTAAGACTAAATTTTGTCCTACGGTATTTCAAATGAGTTTATCATTTATCAAAAAAGAAATTGTTGGAATAAAACTTACGCTTGAAAATCCTGAAATATACTAAGTTGAAGGAACTCCTGTATTTATTGCAGTTATGAACCTTAACACATTAATATCAGTACTCATCAAAGGGAAACACACTAAATTCGATGCACCTTGAAATCTCCGTTGTATGGATTAAATGAAGGATCATATACCAACCTTAAGGCGGGGATTTATAAGAATCACTGGGCGCTGACCTGCTGCATCTGTCATTGCCTGTAAATCCTGCACATTCAGAACCAACGAAAATAACATCAGTGCAAGAACAAGTATAGATATATGTGAAATTTCTAATTTTTATCAGTTCTTACGTTAATAATACAGTTACCAACAGCATTTTGTGGAGCGACAAGTATGAATATATCATCTTGCTCATCCACCTCTTTGGCGCCTGTCATAGGAAACCAACAAAATTCAGTAATGACAAATAAAAAATATAATAGGGGATGTACGACTTTACATTAATTTATCATTCAAACTTTAAAGGGAAAAAATGAAAATTTTGTATTTGATTAGAAATATTTATAAATTGGTCTTGACTTCAAGATAATTCAGGTTCCCAAAACCTCAATTGACTACGAAACGTAGATAGAAAAGATTGAATGGAGCATCAATTTAACATAGAGCCTGAATGAGGATAAATCTTCTCAGAAAATTAAGCTGCAAAAACCCTCTTAATTTAAAGGAAGCCACGGATGCAAACATGAAAGAAACTGAGGATGGGAAAATAATGTAAAGGTTGTCACGAGCCCAAGTACTCATTCCTATATTCTCATATATTGGGGAAGTTTCTTTTTATCTTTAGAAAAAAAAAGAGAATAATCAAGAGCAATAGCAACAGAGACGATATGCAACCCTTCAAGTATTGTTATATATTGATAAAAGGACACACGTCTTATCTTAAAACATATGATGATGGAAGGCACCATTAGTGCTATGGGATTCTATCTGAACTTTTGTAAGATATTTGCCCATTCAAGGTTTTGCTACATCTAATTATCCTTCCGATAAAAAAGCCATAACTGCAATATCTGGAACCTTTTTAACTCAATAAATCTCAATACATGAAACCAGAGCTTAACCAGAATTTAGTGAAACTAACAGTTGGTGATACATGAGCATAGTCGCAAGAGACCATCATGAAAGACTAAGGGCATAAATTATACACACCTTCAACAGAAATAGAAAAGGAATATAGGAACTTATAATCTGTATGTTAGCTGGTATGCCTCTAAATTCCTGACGGCAGTCAGTTCAGCAGCTTGCAAATTCCCTTCTCTAATATAATATGGGCTCCGAAAATTCCTGCCCCAACCTCTCCACGTTGAGAAGATTCTTAACTATTATGTTCTGAGCTAAATTTCCAAAAAGCAAATTAGTTTTAAGATAAGAAACTACCGAGAGATTTCACCCTAATTTTGCAAGAACATTGTGATCTGTTTCCAAGTTTCCTTTAGGCATGAGCCCTATAGTTAATTATCCCTATTGATGACACGAGTGAACTTTCAATTAAGGCTAGTTGTTAAATAGACATTAAGTACCAAGCGCATAGTAGTAAAAAGTTTAATATGAGATTTGAAATTTATCACCTTGATAAGACTAGAGAGGGAGTTGAAGGTAAACTTGAATTATGGAGGTCAACTTTAGAGCCTTTAAAGGTTTTCGCTTGAGAAGATCTAAAACGGAATATATGGAGTGTAATTTTAGTAGTAATAGACCTAGTGAGGGGATTGTGACTTTGGGCGATCAAGTCATTAATAAGAGTACATGTTTTAGATATCTTGGATCAATTGTTAAGAGTGGTGGTGAAATAGATGGAGATATTATCAACAGAATTCAATTTGGATGGTTGAAGTGGAGGAATGCATCGGGCTTGTTGTGTGATAGAAAAGTACCCCTCAAACTTAAGGGAAAATTCTATAAGATGGTGGTGAGGCATGCAATACATTATGGTGTCGAATGTTGGCCATTAAAAGAGAAGCATAATACTAAGTTAAGTGTTGCAGAGATGAGGATGCTCAGGTGGATGAGTGGCTTTACCCTTAGAGATAGGATATGAAATGAGCATATATGTGAAAAGGTTGGTGTAGCTCCAATAGCAGATAAGACTAGAGAGAATCACCTTAGATGGTTTGGTCACATAAAACAGTGGCCTTCCAATGACCCGGTTAGGAGGGTAGAGGTATTATATTTGACTTATGTTAAGAAAGGTAGAGACAGACCTAAAAAGACTTGGTTAGAAAATATTAGTAATGACATTTCTTTATTAGATTTAAACAAGAATTTGACTTTTAATAGGACACAATGGAGGAAAAGGATTCATGTAGCCGACCCCACATAGCGGGATAAAGGCTTGATGTTGTTGTTGTTGCACTTAAGGCAAATTGTGGGCAGAATAATGATAAACACAATTCAGATCTCATGGTTTCGCCGTGCGAGGTTGTCATGATTCCTAGCCTACCTAATAAAAGGAGATAGTCGACCTAATATGATTGAATAATCCTTGTCAATAGCCATGGTAGCATCATCTAAGAGTATCTTGTAAATCTGGGGTAAATGTTTTTTTAATGAGTGAATTTGAGTCAACCTTAGCTAATAGAGGGTTTCATGCTCTATCAAGTATATCATATGATTCATTACTCATGAGTTTTAACTATTCAGGAATATACAGGCTTTGATTGTAAACATGATTTAATAGTATTTTTTACAACAAGACCACCCGATCAAAAGGCCCTACTCACAACCGATTACTTATCGTGCCATTTGACAGCAAAATGACCGGTAAAAAGACACATGCCACATTCATACTAGTGAGACATTATTTGAGAATGAATCTGAGCATAAGTTACTCTTGAATTTATCATCCTCGACAAACAGTTGAAGAGGATGGATGGATTTTTACTTTAAGTTTTAAAGGTGTATATTTCACTTGAAATATTTTGAATTTTGATCATTATTAATTTTTTTTAATTTAAATCTTGAATGATTAATTTTTGGAATTTAGAGGCATTTTGAAAATCAAATAATTCCCTCCGGTTAAATTTTTCTGTCAATGCGGCCATTAATAGGGTTTTACATAACTTTACTTTGTTATTTGAACTAAGTTAACTATGCTTGCTTGCTAATAGAAGATCAAGTTCAAATATTAAATTTGTAAATCATCATACAAGATTTGAACTCAAGAGCTTCCAATATATAATAATTTTATTTTGTAAAAGATGTTGAAAACCTAATGTGAACGTAAAATCAAATATCATCGTGAGTTTCACGTTCATATTTTATTCATTAAGTTCAAGTCCTATTAACTCCAATAATTTCAAGAATGATGATCGAACTTGAAATTTTAAGTCCATTTTAATTTTAACAGGCGCAATATTCTCAGATCGAAGATTGAGAGTTTGACACATCCGTTGGAGAAAATGCATATATTTTGCATTTAAAAAAGGGATACGAATTTTAAATAAAAGAGCAATTATGCAATTATTTTTTTTAATTTAGATCATTTTATTTTTAACTGACACAACATTCTCAACAAACTTAGAAGTTTGATGCATTGGTCAGAGCACATACGAAAATTTTAATTTAAATTAAAAAAAGAAGAAATTATGGTTTAACTTATTATTTAACCCAACGTAGCATTCACAGGTGATAAATTTAACTAACTTCAAATGCTCGTTGGAGCACATGCAAGAAATTTGGACTTAATGGTTTGATGTTTGTATCACACTTTTTGATGCACTTGCTCCACATATTAGCTTGTTTATAGTGCATTCGTGCAATACACTTTTATATTTCATAGCACACTTGCATGATACATTGGCACATATTTTGATGCACTTATGTGATGCTTTTATACACTTTCATAATCTTTAGTGTGTTTAGATAGTGCGCTTGCACAATCAAAGGAACGCTTACTCATTCATTCATACACTTGTACATCGCTTCTATACATTTGTAATGAACATTTACGGGCATGTGGATAAGATCTTCATTCTATGATCTAATGTGTCCCCAGCATTTTGTTGAAATAGTCATGCAACATATGATAAACGTAACAGTGCACTATTTTATCTTATTTAAAAATTATTTGTTCACTGGATGCACTATTTATTTATAGGATGTACGACTTATTCACAGGAAGTGTATGAGCTCCTATTTTTTTAGTAATTAGCGAGTATGTAACTTAGGTACTTGTATACCTATGACAAACAATATATTTGTTCATGTCATTTTTATTTAGAAATATTCACATAAACACAACGATTGGAGATGTGTAAGGGTCGGACGTGACATTTGTTAACATGAATGCAATATCTTTGAATTGCTCTCGTGACTTAACACTTTGATTCCATTATTGCTTGCATTCGGTCCATTTATGCACATGTTACATATTCCATTGCAAGCATCACGAGTAAGAACCTTAGAACATTTTTTTTACATCAATCTTTTTTTTTTTTTTTTGCTTTATATAATTGGATTTTAGTTAGGTGGGTCCCACATGGAATCATTTTTTTTGTTATAAATATACAAGCCCCCCAACTCTTTTTCATCTCAAATTCAATCCATCAATTGTGTTCTAGATAACTTTGAGTGTTCAGATGAGTTCTAAGAGCAAAAGAGAGAGCCCAATCGTGCTCCCAAGTCTCTTATAAGTCCAATATTGTTCTCATTTTTACTAATTTCGACTCATTTTATAATTTAATAGTTTTAAATTTAAACTAAAATCATATTTTATTTTTAATTTACATTTAGAAAATTCTTTTTATTTTATTCTGTATGGCTCCTTTATCAATCTAAATTTTGACAACATCCTGATGCCTCCGCTATATAAAGAGCATAACCGCGTATACTAGGACATCCCACCACACCAAGAAAGATGTGCATTATCAATATCATAAGACATCGCAACCAGAGTTTCTATACCACCAGCAAAGAAAAGTATACATATGTCTTCAAGTACTTGTTTAAAACTTGTAATATTTTTTCATCGTGTCAAGAAAGATAGATACTTAAATTCACCCTTTCGTACTAAAAAACATGTACAAGACTTACCAGTTGCTTTACGAATATGGCTCACGAGTTTCACCTACCACCTAAGAAAAGCATGCACAGGTTCTGCTAATCTACCAAATGTGACATTTCGGATTTTAGAGATTTTAAAAAGTTGTGAACTTTATACCTTTATGTAGAGGTGATGATGACAACAAAGATGAAGCAACAAGAAGGAACCCAAAATTTTCTATTTTTTCATCCTTTTTCGTTTTCTCCTTTGCTTCTTTTTTATAGAGAGAGAATGTGGAGAGAATGAGTGAAGAGAAGACATATAGGGAAGGAGGGAGTATGGAGAGAAAATGAAGTTTCTCTCAACATTTAGAGAGAGAGAGGGGTAAG